TGGAACCAGTGGGCGGTTAGAAAATTGTACTACTAACAGAGATACAAAAGTGGGCGGTAGGTATAAAAAGGTTGGCTACTCCTGCCCTAGAACAACTACCACATATGTGTGAGGGGAACCTTTACCTTTATGGATGTTAATATACATATACTCAGATAAAAGTTTGGGCCTGTCACAATACATCCAGGTTGACTAGACTAGAACAACCTTCGGTGTTATCTGAGTCAGTCTTCCACCAAACACACCCACAGACTCCACTTCTAATTGTAGACCATTTCAAATTATTTGTCCCATTCTCAGGATGGATTGATTGATTTAATTTATATGCTGCCAATCTGCCCAATAAGCCAATTCAGGGTGGCTTGCCCAAGATTCACTTTCGCTTTGCACCCTAATAAAGAATTGTATCGAAATTATATTGTCCTACCAAGTCGTAACCATTTTCATTTTACACTCAAGTTTCTTCCAGTCCGTCTGTCTTTACTGAGTGGGTTTGAGCGGAGAGCTCCTGTCAGCACCTTCATAATTAAAACTGCCGTTCAAGCCTCTTTTTGCAGAAGATGCTGCGAGCATCGGGAAGTCTCGGCGTCTAAAGAACCTCAACCTTCAAGCATCCGAACTACAGTTCCCATGATGCCCTTCCTTCTGCTCTGAGGCCACGAAAGAGACGTCGGAAGAGCTTCCCGTGAGAAGAGGTCGCGAGGGATGATTAGGGAAGAGGTTTGCGGCCGTGGTCTCGACGCTGTGAGAGGTCGCCGGGTATGGACGAGGACGGGTTGCCTCTCGTAGGTTCGGGCATCGACCTGACCAAGGTATTGGCTGGCAGCCTGGTCTTGCGCATGCGTGGAGCGACTCCTGCCTATCCCGAAAGGCCGCTTCTACGGCCGCCCCGTGTCCCAGCTGGCGTTCGGGTGGGGAAGAGGAGGAACCGGGCGAGGGCCCCCTCTGGGTGCCCGCTGCCTTCCCCATCCCTTTAAAAGCCCCCCCCCCTCCCTACAGTAATATTTCACAGCAAGCCCACAAATGTGTGTGTACTGGGGGGGAGCCCACTTCTGACAGGGAAAGCAGAAGCAAAAAAGTTTTATGATGAAGCAAAATCTGTAACAGCCTCGAATGGGGGGGGGGGCTGAAGGCTGAAGAGACAACAGACGGAAAGAGTCGTGGTCGTTACTCTTCACAGCATTTGAATATTAGTAGCTCGAGTTGGTAGTTATATAGGCTGTTGGTTTTGAGCTCCGAGCTTGGCTATTTATTTTATTTATTTTATTTAGTTTGTCAAACATGTAAAAGATAACAGGTATAGGTGTAAACATAAACATGAGCACAAGAAATGGGTACAAATAAATGGGGACAGTAGGACGGGGACCGTAGGCCCACCCCTTACAGATCTCTCAGGAATAGGGTGAGGTCAACAGTAAACAGTCTAAGGTTAAAATTATGGGGGTTTGGGGAAGAAACCACAGTCAGGTAGTGCATTCCAGGCATTGACCACTCTGTTGCTGAAGTCATATTTTCTGCAGTCGAGTTCAGAGCGGTTTAACTTGGTTTATTTGGTTGCAAATGTTTCCTCACCATTCGAGGAGACATTGTCAGTGCATTTTGCGTGTTTTAGCTGTAATCATATATATCCAGGAACAGGAGAAGAAACCTCCCTGAGTCATCTCTGAGTAGATATATACATGAAAACGCATTGATTTATTTGCTTATGGGTCTTCTAGGCTACTCCAGTAATTTTTTTTGTTCTGTACAGGTAGTCCTTGACTTACGACCACAATTGAGCCCAAAGTTTATGTTGCTAAGTGAGGCAGCTGTTAAACAAGTTTTGCTTCATTTTTTACGACTTACAATTGTTAAGGGAATCACTGCAGATCTCACAGTTAAGGTGACTCTACGTACGTTACTTATAACTTTTTTAAAACAAATCATAAAATACCGTAACATTTATAGGATGATATTATTACTGTGTTTATGCAGTTACATGAATCGAGCCATCCTACCAGGAGAGAGAATAACATTGCAATCTTCTTGCACCCATAGCTCCTGAAATGGGTTTCCATAGCATTCCTACGTTCAAATAAAGTTTGAAATAGAAAGAAATTTCCACTGTACATGTTTACAGTAGCTCATGCCTTGGTCACCTCCCATTTGGATTACTGCAATGTATTCTATATGGGACTGCCCTTGAAGACCACCTAGAAATTGCAGCTAGTCCAGAATGCAGCAGTGCAAAGTAACCTGGGGAGCGAGGGGAGGGGGTTTGGTTTACCTGTGTAAAACCACTGTTGCAGAAGTTGTACTGGCTTCCAGTTTCTTTCCAAGTGCAATTTAAAGAGCTGGTCATCACTTTTAAAGTCCTATATGGCCAGGTTATTTGTATGAGCGCCTTTCCCTAAGGATATTCCCATCCTGCCACATCAGATAAGTGTCAGGGTTCAAAGTAACATCTCCAATGAAATAAGACTCCGAGACTGGAGTTTCCTCAAAGTTCCATTTGAGGAAATAGATGTCATATTGGCACATCTTCAGACCCAAATCTGAAAGTTTCCAGGTTTTCCCCACCCAAAAGAAAGTTCAAGTTCCTGCCCAACACCCACATATCTGTCACATGATCCAATCAGGCACCATCCAAAACTAGAGATGCCTCCCAGTCACCTCATCACAGCTGCAGGCCAAGGTCTCCTTGACTCTCTGAGATAAGAATGTTATTTTGACTATATCACCCATGCTCTTATGTAATCCTCCCTTCCCACAGTAGAAAAATGTGGCAGGCCTGAAGTCCCAATGTAAAAAAATGGCTTCCAGGTCTGACAATAGGATGGGCACAGTCCTAATCTCTTCCCTTAAACATTGCCTTCTCGTGGTATCTCAAAGTGTACCTCTTCTATGGCAGCTCCTGCCATAGGGTACTCTCCCCCCCCCCCCAAACATTCAGTTGGCCTCCACTCCATAAAGCTTTGAAGGCCTGGCTTTTTCTCCAAGCAGTGGGATGAGTTGTTTGGCTCATCCAAGAAGTTTGGCTTGACTCCAGGTTTTTTCTGAGTTTATTTCATCTTTATAGTTTTAAGATGGCTATTATGATGTTGTAATTTTTAATTGGGAGCCTTGATTATAAGATGGATGGCTATATAGTTTTAAATAAATAAAATGTATAAGACAACTTCCCCAAATTGGTGCTTTTCAGATGTGCTGAATACTAATTCATATTGTCCAGCTATTCTGATCAAGCAAACAGCAGGGTAAGGAAGGTTAATATAATGGTTAAATTTAAAAGAGTTTGAAACTCTTTTAAGATGGTTTAAATTTAAATTAAACTAAACAAAGCCCACAAATTTTTCCCTGAATAGACAAATCTCAAAAACTTCCAAAAGTTTCATACTGAAGAGATCTTAGTGTTTAATTCTATGGAAGAAAAAAAATTCAACATATATGGCAAGGGGAAAAAATGTTGATAAGGCATTCAATTTGATTGATTAAGCATTGTGTAATAAATATCTATTGTCAGTATAGCTGACTGATCTTTAAAACTGAGTTAATAAATAAAAATAAATGAAATAAATGGTTTATCATTAAAATGGTTGTTGCCAATTTCTGTAGATAAGTATGAAATGGGAAATTTTGTGTTAATGTGTTTTTCTGCTGAAATATTAATCATTTCTCTTGCAAAGGATATATTAGTGATGCTAGATTAAGAGACAGTGGCTGCTATGGATTTTCAGTTTGACCATGAACAAATTCCTTACGTTGTTTCTCATTAATTACAAAAGCACCAATAAATGTAGGATACGATTTTTAGCCTAGTTCATTCTCTGACAGCAGTCTATAAAAACAGTGAAACTGTAATATACTTCCAAAATGTTTCCTGTGCCAATTTCAGGATCTGAGATTTACAACTCCTATTTATTCAATGTCACTAATAAATAGTTTGGCTTAAATTCAAAAGTTATTCACTTTTATATTTTTAAACTCTTGACTGTCTTATCCTTTTGCTCTTCCATGTTTTAATGTACAGTTCTGATAAAAGAGAATATGTTTATTCAATTGACAAACTGCGAATTTGATAAAAGTTAAGTTATACTTTTATGCATCTTGGCACATTGCTTTCAAATAATAAATTATCATTCAAATATTTGGCCATTCTCAGAGTTTGAATGTAAATGTTTGATACTGTATTTGCTTCATATTAGAGAGATATTAAAAGAGCTAGTTTGGTGTAGTGTTTAAGGCATCAGGCTAGAAACTGGGAGATCATGAGTTCTAGTCTCACCTTAGCCACAAAAGCTGGGTGACTTTTGGCTAGTCACTACTCTCAGCCCTAGGAAGGAGGCATTGGCAAACCACTTAAGAAAAATCTTGCCAAGGAAATGGCAGTGACTTGGCCATTAGTTAATTGATTTCTCTTGTATTTTTTTCTATGTTTTATGTAATGCAGGTTCCAGCTATCCAACAAAAGAGAACAGTGGCGTTTCTAAACCAATTTGTGGTTCACACAGTTCAGTTCCTGAATCGATTTTCAACTACTTGTGAAGAGGTAGTACATGCCATACTGTAACTTTCCAAAGCCAGCGTATACTACATTTCTTTATAATGCATGCTTGGTACAGAAATAATTTAAATTCTCATTCTCCACCATGAAAAGGTTAAAACAATGAAGAAGTATAATCTGCCAGTGGAAAACATGAAAATGTCTCTGTATTCAAAGTTGGCTTGTGAGGCTTTGGCATGCAATGCTTTGGGGAATATGTCTGGAAACTTGGTTTTCATCCTTTATTGCTTTAAACAAGAGGTAGTTATCAGTTTTCATCACCATGTCACCATATTAATCTTTCTGGAGAAGCAATATATTTTTATTTGTGGGTATGAAACAAAAATTGAAAAGTCAGTGTATAAAGAGGGACTTAGGTTTACGAGAGACTTTTTGTTACAATTTTGCCATTCTTTTAATGTGTTAGTATTACTTTGCCATATTCAGTGGTACCTTCAGGTTTTTGTGTCTCTGTAAGCTCCAAATTGTCCAGGAATATTGTATTGCTTACCTGTACTTGTTATTAATTAAAAAGAATACTAAATCATCAATAGTATTTTACCTAGAAGCATACTGGGATTGTTTATTAAAACCTATTAGATAAATCAGTTGAATCTTGACTAATAGTTTAAAAGCATTTCCCAACTAGTCTCTGCCTAACAACAAGTTCTGGAACTCTGAGACAATTAACTACCTTTGGTAGCTACTTATGTTTTGGCACCAGACTGAAGAAAAAAAAGCAGTAGCTTTTAATGATAATGAATACTAAATTATTTCTTCAATAATATGCTTAATAAATTTATTAGATTAATTTGCTTGTTTATATTTATTTGAGTTCACGATCCCATCTCTTGCCTATATAGTGCATTTTAGTATTACCAGAAATTAAGGCTATTCTAAATGTCCAGGGATGCATAGATTAATAAGAACACTCTGCAAGTATTGATTTCTTTGTTGCTGAGTTCATGTCTTTTAGTTAAAATTATTTGTTAATAAAGCTTGATAAATAGGGATATAATCATATGTCATGTGCGCCATATTATTTGTTAATGGAATGAATATTAGCATAGTAGTATATTAAAACAGCTGATCATCATAGTGTAATCGGTTATTTCAAACCATCTATATAATAGCACTTAGAAGATTATTGTCCAATATGTTTCGTATTAGTCTCCAAAAGACCGAAGCAATAAGTTTGCTTTTCAGGATTGGGGTGATGGGAAAGAGCTAAATATTACTGGATGGAAAATGTGGAGGAGTTAAATGATACTAAGGAAATTGTTGAGTAATATTTCTCTTTCTTATTCCCAGAAATTGTCAGCACTTTCTCTCCGTATTCAGCAAATTGAAACTTTGCTCAATATTCTGGATGCAAAGGTTTGTTCCTAATATGCTTCTTTTTATGTGGTAGTTTAAACATTCTTAAATATATAATTTGTAGGATTCTGAGGGTAGATTTCATTTAGATCATGTTTGTCTACAAACAAAAATAAACATGTATATTTTTAGTATTAAGGAAAGTAAAAAAGAACAGAAAGGAAATAGATACATTCAGTAGTTCAAAGTGAAGGTAAAGATTTGGACATATGTAATGTCTGACAATGCTAGCATCATTAACTATACATTTTGAAACTTTATAGAAGAGAAATGTTTATCAGATGTATTACAGATGGAATGTTTGTATGTTCAATATTAAAATAACATTTACCTGTGATGTGCCCCATCCTCAGTTATCTTCTGTGCCTGGCCTAGAAGATGAGATCTCAAATACCAGTGTTATGAATGGCTCTGCCTCACAAACATTGGTAGAGCCACAGACAACAAATATATCACCTAACGTGGAGGTAAGCTAGTCTTTCCAAAGCACAATATGACTGTATTCAAAGGTCAAGAAAATCAGAATTATTTGAAAATAACCAAATCGTTGGTGCAAGCTGTTTGTTTGCTCTCATTGATTCTGGCAACTAGCCAAATAATACAGAAATATTTATCCCTTGATTTGCTACCTGTGTTTCCCCAAAAATAAGACAGTCTCTTTTTTTTTTTTGCTACCAAAAAAGGCATTAAGACTTATTTTTGGGGGGATGTCTTCTACTGACTCACCTCACTTGCCCACGTCGCCCCCGGCCTCCTTTTTGCTGTCAGAGGTTTTCAGGAACTTCATTTGCAGCCTGCAAGGCAAGCAAGGGTTTCCTGAAGGCCTTTGCAGCCAATAACAGAGTTCAGGATCGATCCAGAACTCTGTTATCAGCTCCAGAGGCCTTCAGGAAAACCTTGCCAGCTACAGAAGAAATGGGCCAGCAAGTCAAGTATTGGGGTGTGGCTGTAAGTATCTGAAGATAAATAGTAGGGCAGCTCCACCAGCCCCACATCCCCACCCTAGCTTAATTTTTACCCGTGCACCCTGGAGTGGATAGGGTCTTAATTAGGGCTTATTTTGGGGGTAGGGCTTATATTGGGCACAAATGTAAAAATCAAGCTAGGATCTACTTTCAGGGTAGGTCGTATTTTCGGAAAACACAGTACCTTTTGTGTGAACTGGATATTTAGACTTCCTTCTGTTTAGATTCAAAAGATTCATCTCATTGGACTCCAGTTTGACTTCTGGTGACTTAATAGACTCTTGCCTAATAAGTCCAATGAGGAAGTAGTTTGCCATTGCCTTCTTCTGGGATGCATCTTCAATTCCGCAGTGTCCCCAACTGTCTTGGGGTGCACCAAGATCCCAAGTAGGTCCAACCCTGCATAGCTTTTTGCAGTCAGTGAAGCTTGACTAAACGTTATTATCTTAAAAAGTAATTCTGCAGTATCTGGACAGAAATAGAATTCTTGATTCATAGGCATTGCTATTCAGGTTTGTCTAACTGCTGCCTTGGCAGGAGGAGCCAAGCAGGACCAATCAAACTCCGGGTATAAGTTGCTGGTAAAGCTATATTTTTTTTAAAAAAAACAATGTGATATCCAAATATGGTAAAGTCTGAGGTCATGTGAAGACTGGTGTGCACTGTTTGTTGTATTCCAGACCAGTGTACCTGAGTTGGGGCAACAGAAGACAAATGGAACTGATGTCATCACTGTAGCAAAGGATCCACACTATGCCAGATACCTCAAAATGGTTCAAGTGGTAAGTCACATTTATTTTACCAGGCTTTATCATAAACATTTGGACTTCTATTCCCTGAAGCTTCCTTTAAAGTAAATTTTGTATTTTGAGGTTAATTATGAATGTAGGTTGAATTTTATATGCTTTTAGCATAGAAATTAGTATAGAGATTGATTGAGACATAAATATTGAGACACAATTTTCCTCTATGTCTTGCTGTACCCAATTGTCCGTCATTACTAAAAATACTGATTTTTCATTATGTGCAGTGTGTGTGAGTGTGTGTGCGTGTATGTATGTATGTATGTATTGTATGCGCAATTATGAATTACTCTGTCCTGTTTAGGGGTAAAAAATCTCTCCAATAGTTTCTGTGATTGTTTTAATCCAACAGTGTTTATTTGTGATAGACAATTTAAAAACCAGTTTAGCTTTAATTTTCTTCCCATCGTTGCTGGCTATGGTTGTCCCAGAAAACCAGTTGCATTCCATTTATTCTATCACATAGAATTTGTTTTTGGCTCTATTACTTGCTCACAAAAGAGCTCCTGACAGAGTTTCTGTCAAGCTTTGACAGAGCCAACAGTTTTCTTTTTAATGTCTTCTGATGCTGAAACATGTGCAAAATATGAGCAAGAGTTCAACTTGAATACACTAAAGTTTAAAATGAAAATAATCCGTAAGCCTGGCAAAGTGAAACTAAATTGAACGAATAGGCACATTTTTTAAAAATTATGTATATGTAATATTGTATATAATAGATTTAATGCAAAGAGGTAAGGTAAGAAATTACATTGATAATTCCACTTCAACTGTTGTTATTCATTTGCCCTATTTAGCTTCTGACCCTAGTAGGATCTCATCATGGAGAAGGTTAGAAACTTGTGGTTTTGTCGCCATTCTCCCAAGTAGGATATGATAACAAAGCAATTTTGATGGCATTTGCTTTGCCACTCTTTACAGTTTTGCTGGAAGCACACAAATACCCATTTCAACCATAGTGCAGTCCTGAGGGGAAAATGACATTTGATTTAACAAGTTGTAGGCTTGTGAACTCACTGTGGATTCTGAAATATCTTTTGCTTTTGAAGCACTGCATAATTTTGAAATGCAATATAATGTTACAGCTCTTTCAATAGTGGTAAAAATCACAGGAAAATGTAAGCTTTTGTGATTCTCCTTTTCCTGGATATGGATTATGATATAAACGAGGCCAGAGTTGTTCACTGGAGCGTGAACAAGAGGAAATGACCTTGAAGGAAATACTATAGACAAGAACTAACACATAAGAAAGGAGGACTGAAATATCCCTTCAGTCTGCTCGTTTGATGCTTTTAAATGCATCAGATTGAGATGCCCATTTAAGGGGAAACACATTTGCACTCCGTGAGCAATTCTTGTTTCAGTAATTGGATGTTGAGTAGGAGAGAGGAATGGCCTGCTGTTTTTTGTACTCAGTCCTTATACAGGAATAGATGTTCAATATTGCTGATAGGATTCTCTATCATTCAGCTAGGGTTTATGTTCTTAAATATCTATCCTCTAGGGCAGAACAAAAGTTTTAAGAATTTGCATACCTGGAATAGCAACAGGTTTTTTTTAATGATTTATGCAAATCTGATGTATAGTGAAATGTCTGTGCCTGGGAAGTAGAATAAAAGATGCTGAATTCTTTTCTGTATGGTGGCCTATTTCAAAAATAACAAATAAATAAGGAAAGTGTACACCTACTGCTAAGAATTTAGCTCATGTAATGCAGACTGAGGAGCATTGGTGTGACAAGTAGGACAAATTCTTCAAATCATTACTACTGCTTGAATATCTGTTCATTGGATATATGTTGAGAAGCTATATTTATGTGAAGGTGCATATTTTGACAATGTTTTGGAAGAAATGCTCTGGACTTCATACAATCCTAGAATTAATTTGCTAACGAAATACTAAATCTTTTTCAGGCTTCTAAATGAGTAGCTAGAAAAAAAAATGCTGCTACTTTTGTGACTTCAGTATGAAGCAGAGAGATACTGTCCTCATATACAATCCCAAATGCTCCTGAGTCCTTTTCAAAGCATGGAGAGCTCTAATAGTTTGACCATTAAGGAAATGAATATGTTCTAATCTGATAACCAAGGAATCAGTTTTACTACAGTTCCAGTAAAAAGTTTGAAGCAATGTTGGTAATGGCAGATATCCATGTGGAGCTGTTATTAAGATGGGTGTGATAAGTTCAAATGTTTGGTGTAAACTTCAGAGTAAAAGCAGAAGAGCTCTCTGTAGCAGTAACCAAGCCAACACAGAGCCTTAGGAAAGACAACTTTCCTATTTTAAGTTGATACAAAATACAATTGTTCTCTATGTAAAGGTAGGTCTGGAAATAAATGACCTTTCATTTGGAATAGTGTCTCCATCTGTTTCATAAATCTTAAGCTAACTTTTAACTAAGCCCAAGGATATAATTTCTCTTATATTAGTTATGTGATACAATTCTCTTTTTAGTTAATTATCAATCATGTTACCATCATCTCTCTGTTAGATAAAGTTATCGGCAAATACGGTAAATAATTTGTGGCATTTCATCTTACCCATTCCATCCTTCATATTATCCTTGACAGTTTCTGGGATTAAAACCTAGATGAGAAAATTTTGATTTTGTTTTAATTTTGAAGCCTTGCAATAGTTAAAAACTCTGAATTAGGAACAGAATATCATATTAGATTCAGTGTTTCTGAATCTTGGCAACTTTAAGATGCATGGACTTCAACTCTCAGATATCCCTAGACAGCATACATATCTTAAAATTGGTTGATCTCCTTGCTTTTTCATTCTCCATCCATGATCATTAGGCTGTGCAACCCAGTGTGATTTGATGCTTTATTTCTGCACTGCATTCACTGCTTTCATCAATCAATTCTAGGAAAATGAATTTTTGCAAACATTTGATCTCTTCATTGTCAATTATTTTGACATTTCCATTCCCTACAATGGTCATTTGTTTAGGAAGAAGTCACATTTCTTGCTTTCTTCTTTAATCCTTTTGATCATATTCAGGGTTTCTTGGGTTTCTGGGAGGAGTTGTGTCATTAGCATATTGAAGATGGTTGATCCAATCTTTCTTTCAACTTTTTATTCTTCAAGTTCTAGCTCGAATGAGAAAGTCGAAGGAATGCAGCCTTGCCACCCTCCTTGCTATATCTTGAGCTAGTTGGGATCGCCATATGGTGTTTGCACGATAGCTTCCTGATTTGTGTACAGAAACTGCAGAAAAATGACCAGATGTTTCAAGACCCTCAACTTGTCCTGATCGAAACAATTCAAAGGCTTTCTTAATAGTCAATCAAGCAAATGATAGGTATTGTTTTGATATTCTTTAGACTTTTACATGATCCAGCATAGACTTACAACATGGACATGAGTTCTACCCCTTCTGAAGGCAACCTGGCACCTGTTAATTCCCTTTCAATGGTTGGCACCGTTGAACTGTTGTATGATCTTAGAGTTCATGCTTTGTTGTGACATTGTTGTATGATCTTAGAGACAATCTTGCTAGCTTGTTAGGATGAAATATTGCAGTTGTGCAATATTTGGAGCAATCCTTGGAGTCACCCTTTTTTGGCAATGGAATGAACACTGATAGTTTCCAATTCTGTGGCCATGTGTTTGGTGATGAAAATATCTTGTATATATGCATAATTAAAGCATACTAAATTACTTGCTTTTATAAATGTCTTATTTAACTATTCCAAGAGATCCTTGTAAGGCTTCCCCTCCTGCTTCAAAAAGTTATGTTGACCTTATTAATAAACCATTTTTTCCATGGTCATTTCCACGATGGTATAATTTGACATATCTGTTTAACAACATATACTGGAGAATTCTGAAGTGACAAATTTCTTTAAAGTTATTTCCTTTTACAATTTTGTGGTGAATTTTCAGCTTTAATTTGTGATTCCCTTCCCCAGTAAAAATTGTATACTGTTTACAAATGGAAAATGTTTACATAATAATATTAAGTAACATTTTCCATTTGTAAGACATAAGAAAGAAGTTCTGAATAACAGAGCACTGCCACCACCACAATTTAGTCTTTGTATTTCAGGATACATTTTCCATATGGCAGATGGTGACTCCTAGTCATTAAAAAAAATGTGTGCTAACAGTAATGACAGCTCTGTAAATTCCCACTATTAAACTGCTGAGTGTAATTGTTTTTATTGGAGATAGCTAGTTTTATATTAGGGTAAAGCGTTCCAAATACAGATATGCAAGGGAAAATATTAATCACCACATCAGCATAGTTATTGCCATGTTAGTCTTGACCACTCGCTTGCTTTCCTCAATGACACCAGTACAGAGATACTTCTCTGAACAGTTAAGTTTTTACTCCCTTGTTTGTAAAATATTGTTCTTACCTTGGCCCAAAAGTCATTGGGTTCCATGCCAATACAACTACACTACATTGATTACTGTTAATTTAGAAACCAAGGTCTCTTGCATCCTTTTCGGACCTGCCATCAACCTTGGAAATAAGATTTTCTTTCTTTCTTTCTTTCTTTCTTTCCATGTCAAAAGAATGTTCTATTGAACTTTGTCAGCAGAAACATGGGAATAGCTTCTCTTGGAACATCTCTAGCAAAGACCTTTGACTTCAGATTATTCCTAGGAGTCTGAAAGAATATGAAAGGAGAATGTTTAGTGATGAGTGATCCACAAATGTTGAGAGAATTTTAATGGAAAAGCTGTTTTCCTTTCATATGAATAATTGGCTGAAGTATGCCATTGTGAACAGTCAATATGAAAATCTGGATGTCATGCTGCTAAAATTCATATAGGCCTTTCTGAGTTGAGCACAGTTTTCTTAAAAAAACTGTAGAGGAAAACTAAATAAAAGTAGCTTTTCCACAAAAAATAAATGAGATAAAATATGCTGTAAGATTAGTGAAGGTAATTGCTGAGAATAGTTTAACACTAAGGACTATCACTGATACAAGTTATGTCTTTCTATTCAGCTGGTGGAGTTTACCTTTGCAACATGAAAGGATATAGTACTGATAATGTATAACCTTCATATAAATATAAACACAAGAATGGTCTAGAGTCTAGATCATCATCTAAATGTATGGTTTAATAAGAAACGAGGGTTTTTTTCTACCAACTGCAATTAGCCAACTGAATTGGAAAGGATAGTTCCACTATCTGTCTTCTAGTATAGGTATTTTAAGTAATTCTATTATGCTATTATTCTATTATGTCATCTCTGGCTGGAATCTTGCTAATGCTACCATTTTCTTACACAGTCAGGTTCCAGCATGGCTTCTATTGTACTGTTAGATCAATTGAAAAATAAGGTTCTGGGTTGTTGTTTTTTAATGATGCTTTTGAATCATGTTTTATGGTAGAATAAGCATTATTGTTCATTTGCAGTAAATAAATCTTAGATAAATAAAAATACTGCTTCATGATGCTTGGGAACACAAGTGGTCTTTCATATTCTGGTTTGCATTATGCAGCTAAAATGATGAATTAAATTATTATTTCATCTCATCTAACCTTTCAGACCTCTATTTAAAAGGTTGAAATGATGGTAGGATCTTGGGAAGAAATTGGGTTGAATTTTGGTCTATTACTTATTTGCAGTGTGGCAATTTCATACTTTCCTTGCTGCAATAGCTATTTGGTTTCCCTTGGCTTCACTTCTGTGATCATCTTGCCAAATTCCAGCTGCTTTTACAGTGATACTTAATTTTGGCCCACATCATGCAATAGATACAGGTAGCGCCTGGAAAGTAGTACTGAGCTTCTTGAAAAGTTTAATTGAGTGTATCCAATGTCTATCATACTGGGATATTTAAAAAAAAAATTAAGGCAAGTCTGTCTTTAGGGATCCTTTAAAAAATTGTTTGGCATTGTATTCAAATGGAAAAGTATATCCCCACCCCCACCCCCCCTTTTTTTTTTGCATTACTGGCTTCCATCATAGCTGCCATCAAATTCTAGCAGCATAACTAGCAGGTTGGAGAAACTGCCTATAAATCAGTCAAAATAAAATTTGTCATTAGTAATTGTCTCCAGGGCCTCTTTCTTAATATTTGTATTGGTGCTTATGTTTGGGGTAGGGCTCCTATGTTCTGAGCTTCTCACAGTCTTTTTTTTCCTCCATAGGGTGTTCCTGTTATGGCAATAAGAAACAAAATGATTTCTGAAGGATTAAACCCGGATCTTCTTGAGTAAGTAGCAATATCTATTTTGTTTAAACATTATTTACATGGAATCTAAATGGATCTGATATTTGAATGCATTTTCCCAATTCCCAAGATTTATCCTGAGATAATACAGTCTTCAGAAGAACAAAAGTTGTACAGCTGGCCCAACTGGTTGAGAAATATTCTTTTCAATTATGTGGAAATAAGCATAGTAGTTTGAATTTATGAAGTGTTCTTGGAATGCTCAGTGAGCCTGCCAACAGCTCTAGGAAATCTACCAGTGTTACCTCCTTATTGCAGAATTGTGAAGTCAACTGAAAGTTGACCTAAACTAAGCAAGATGTGAACTTGGAACCTTTCAATTTGCTTACTTAAGCCATTTCACAATATCAGTTATCTAGCCTTCCTGGATTTTACATCCAGAGAAAAAAAAAACTTTAATATAATAATTTCCTCCACTGTATCCCCATCTCTTTATGGTATATCTCTAGAGGCTTTTTTGCCTAGCAAGCATTTTATTGATTAATTTCATATAGTTGATGATTGTAGATAAGTGATGATCTGCTTCACACAATATGCTGGACCATAATGTTATTTGTTTGGCTTTAATTATGCTTTAATTAAAATTTGTTACTTACAGCAGCAGCCCCCAACTTTGTGGCTTGGCAGCCCAGCTGGGGGGAATAGGGGAACTATGCCACACGAGTGGCCAGCTGGTGCGCATGTTTGTGCAAGTTGAGCTGTGCACAGGTTGAGCTGTGAGCATGCACACACATGCTCTAGCCAGCCACAGCCCGGTAGTGGGCCACTGCTCAGGGGTTGGAGACCCCTGATGTACAGTATAATTACATTTATAATTACATTTATTATAATTACATTTATAGATTAGATCAAGGGTCTCCAACCTTGGCAACTTTAAGCCTGGTGGACTTCAACTCCCAGAAGGCCACAGGGAGTTGAAGTCTGCCAGGTATAAAGTTACCAAGGTTCTGCCAGGTATAAAGTTACCAAGGTTGGAGACCCCTGGACTAGATCACCTATAAGGTGCCTTCCAACGCTGTCAATCTGTTAAGTATGACTTAACGCACTGTACGAGCCCAGCTGCTATCCAATTTCTCAGGTCCAGAAGTCATTTTTGCACCTTTATGAAGATACTTTTTTAGGTTCTGAATGCCTGAAGACATAAAAGCTCACATTGTTGAGATATCTTGCCTTTGTGTTTCAGAACACCAGATGCTCCAGTGCCTGCATGGGGAGATGAGACAAATAAAGGAGAAAGTTCTGATAGTGAATCATCATTTAGCGACTAATGGTGTTGCCCTTGGTGGGAAAATGTTTAACTTTTCCTTAAAAGCACTGCCTAGTCTTTCTCTCTGTTAAATGCAGATGTATAAACTTGTAACTGAATTTCTTGAGCCATATGAGGTATTCTCTAAAAGCAGCAGCTTTGCACAATAATATATTCATTTTGTATAGAATTTAGACTAAAAGCCAAGCTCGGTAAAACTGACACATTATGTAAATTACATTACCTTATATAAGATATGGTGTCTTTGACTTGGGTAAATGTTGTCCTAAGAATATCCAGGGTGAAGCTGAAGATGAGACTGGACTCACACACACCCTCTTTCCATCTAAATTATGCCACCCTGAATAATCTTCTAAATTACAAGGATTATTTTTATGTCTATTCCTGGTAACTGTTCAGAATTCAGTGAATGCTGATCCACGTCTCCATGTTGTAGGAGAATTCAAAGCACCGTATCTACCTTTGGAATAGGTGCACACATTTTGTGTGTTCCATGATTTAAGAATTAAAAATAAGAATGGCAGGAAGAAGGACTGAGGATAAAAAGGAATGCTTTCTGCTTGAAATTAATGAACATAATTTTGTTTTGGCAAGTTACTAGATATTGTTATATTGCCTCTCTTTCTTTCTTTCTTTCTCTCTCTCTCTCTCTCTCTCTCTCCCTCCCTCCATTCCTTCCCCCCCTCTCTCTCCCTCTCTCTCGCGCACGCGCTCTCTCTTTTCTTCTTATAGTGTCCAGTTACCATTATTGCAAATATAACCCTTGGATAGTAACAGATTGCATCACTGTTATCCTGCCTGGCAAAGCATGTGGTCTTTCCTTGTTATAAAATTTTCTTCTTGAAAATTACAGTGAATTCAGTATATAGAAGATGTAAAATATATATAAATGAGTAAGTTCTGAACACTGTTAGAAAGACATGATTTCCTAACTTTGCACATGATAACAAAGTACTGATAAATTAAAGGGGTGTTATAACTAAACAACCCACAACATTACAGTGTTTCAAATGTCTGCCATTTACTCATCAATTTCCCCCCAAATCCATTAGTCGTCTTATAGAGAAACTTAGTAATGAATGATTAGAAAGAGAGCCTTCTATATTTTTTTAAAGAAAAAAATGCTAGACCCCTTCATGTATTAAACAATGCATATATTTTCAGAGTTTGGGCAATTTCATCAATAATATTAATTTCACTAAATAGATTTTAAGTATTCTATAAGTGTGCATATATGAACCGCATTTTCACTAAGTGCTAATCCTGAATCTGATGGAATGCCTTAAAATATAACAAGCAACTATTTGACACCCCATCTCCATATTTATTGTGCTCTGCTTCTCCCAATAATAGAAAGTGTTTTCAGTACTGTTAATTATCTCCGAGCTGGAAGTCCTAATCAGTCATTAAAAATATACTCTGGCATTTGAAATGTATTTACAGTTCCTAATTTATTTGAGAGAGTGGTTGAAATCTATCCTTATTCCCTTCTGTGATCCAGAGAAACCAAGAACAAACTGGTATGCTGTAACGTGCATATGAACCAAAATCCAAAATAGTTTATGGTTTTTGCACTTATGTTTCTTTACTGGAACATTTAAAAACAATACATTACTATTGTTCCATTCCATCTGTCCTGACTGCTGTTAGTTGTGACTTTTCCACATAGAGGAAAATAAATGCCCTCAGACTGTCTTCCCACGTCACCCGCCTGAGTTTGTTTGAGGTCTCCTAACACATCCTAACACATCCTGTATATAGCAGAAGCCAAGATGGCCATTATGTAGCAATATCAAAGTTCAAAGGATCTCTGAAGTATGGTCTTCTTGGTTAGCAGAACTGTAGTTATGGCTTTGAACTGAAATCTCTTGCTAAATGAATTGGAACAAAGCATCCCAAACCATTTAGTGCAACCTGTTTCACAAAAGGTCAAGGCATCTTGTTTCAGGAAACAAATTTAGAAGTGTAGCATATTTATATAAACTAATATTTTGATTTGCTGCCTAATGAAATGCACATTACATTGTACAGTAACTGGAACTTGATTTTGTATTATTTGAAAATACTGTATTTTTCAGAGTATAAGATGCACCTTTTTCCCTCAAAAAGGGGGCTGAAAATCTGGGTGCGTCTTATACACTGAATACAGCATTTTTTGCCTCCTGAAACCCCACCCCCTTCACCAAAATGACCGTCCATAGCTTGTAGGAGGCTTTCAGAGACCTCCTGGGGGCTGGGGAGGGCAGAAATGAGCAAAAAAGGCCCATTTTTTCTCAATTTTGGCCCCCCCAGCCCCCAGGCAATAAGCTTCCTAATGCCTTTAAAAAAAAATGGGCCTCTTTTCACAAAAAACGGGCCATTTTTTTGCTCGTTTTTGCCCCCTCTCCCACACAGGAACAGTCTACCAGCCTCCTAAGGGTTATTCATGCCCTTTTGGGGAGGGAGAAACCAGGCCCGTTTTCGCAAAAAACAGGCCATTTTTGGGAGATTTGCCGAGTGCAAAAAAAAATTTTTTTTG